ACGTTCGCCTCTCGCATAGACGTCGACCAACATCGACCGATTCTTTCGATCCAACGCGATACGGTCGCGTGCTTCGATCGCGAGAAACGATTCCATACGAGACAATGTCTCGAATGAAACGGAATTACAGTTGCGATGCATACATTTACAGTAAATACTGATTAAGTGGAAGAAAATCGAGACCCAAGCGTTACATTTATACAATCGAGGTTTCTATTCTGTGTTTACATTTAGCTCGAGTCGAGCGTCGAACGAACAAGGGCCCCCTCCCAGTAATGGAGACAGTCATCTTGGATTTATCCAGTCTTTACTGTATACTCGAATATTAATGGAAACATCGATGAGGGCACTCGTTAGGTCCGTGTACGGCACTGACGTCGGATATCGAACAGCACTCGGCAGAAAAATAATAATCGTCTTGTCGATCACGTTCTAAGCCTTCAAATCAACTTAACGCATCGTTCGTACACGCCTTTTCGTGTACGAGCCGTGTAGTACGTGTTTGCAATTCGCAATTAAGAGAGGAATGTCAGGTTGCGAGACGGCTCCCACACGATTGTTTCTATTTCAGAGTAGAGGTCAACGCATCTCGTCCTTGGGACGACCTGTACCGATGTAAACAGAGATCCCGTGACCTCGTTAAATAAAGTGGAGTGCAAGGTATGTAACAGTCAACAGTTCCATATTTGCGTAATAGGAGAATGATTGACGAGAAAAATGTGGAATTGATGGAATAAACGAAGGTGTCTTTGCGTGACAAGGATGACGTTAACGGTTGAAAGTCTAGGGGACAGGCGTATCGAGCCTTTAAAGTCGAACCAGTATCCGAAGGAGACAACCGTCGTCTCATTGCGCAAACACTTTACTTTCACTGGCCACGCACACGCGAAACTTGCGCTGTGCGTGTGCCCTTGCACTGGGCGAATTGGTGGTTGGACATTTTTCGGAATTCAACAGTGAATAATACAGTACTCACTGCTTGATCGGGAGACTGGAGAAGGCTCGAAAATTAGTACCGAGAACGATCAATAGTCGATGTAAGCGGGCTAATTTTCTGGGAAATCGAGGAAAATGTTCCAGCCGTATTGGTATGCTTGATCAAAAATGTTAAAAATCATAATATCCTCGATAAATGGAATCTAATGCTCGATTAGGGTATAATAGGTAGTCTCTGATTAAAACTGGCAACGGTCGATCGTAAGGTGAGTGAGTCATTTTTCAAGAAATTCGAGGAAAACACGCCAGGCATATTGGCTTACCTCATTCGAAATAAAAAAATCAAACTCTAAATATAACTTGGATTAGGTACCAAGAGGATCTTTAATTAATTTCCAGTTGGTTTATTTCTAAATGATACCGATGTATACATACATATTCGACACCAGCGATAACCAGAAGCCCAATAAAGACCTTGAATTTAATCAAATTCCTCCGTAAGTTGAAAAGATTCACTGATATATATCCAAAGGATAACGACCTGAGCCCCAACCACTCCTACGTTTACCGTACCAATATTCTTCCAGAACCTAATTTCCATCCTAATCGATTCGAAAACTTTGTAATCGAGTGTAAGACAATCGAGAGAGTCTTCCAGTGGATGATTCGACCAACGGAGGAAACATCGACGCCCGTTTCCATCTCTAGTTGGAGCTAGAATTGAGCAAGCGACCGTGCCTTGTACCAATGACGTCATCCCCGGCGGATCCAAGATGGCGATCGCGCGTTCGCCAGGCAAAATCGGCTGGCTGCCGCGAGCAGGACCGGTTTTCGAGGCGGCAGGCAGCCCGGAGGTGGCTTTGGATGGGATGCAGGGAGGGGGCCCTGGGTCGTTTATCCGCGCGGTTTCGTCGTTTTGCGGCCGAAATGTGGAAGCTGCGAGACCCCGGGGACCTCCCTGCGTGTCGTGTTTCGCGTAATAGCCAAACACGTAGCGATTTATTCCCGCGAATGGGCCCAGTGGCGCGGCCACTTTCCATCTTTATGCGCCGTGGTTCCTTCGAGTCCGTTCAGTGAAAGTAATTAACGCTCGTACGTAATCGACGACTTTCCCAAGCACTGCACAGTCCAGAACCGTGATTTTCCCAGGTAGAGGAAGGAGCCTGGCGTGTTTGTGGAAGAGGTAGTGTACAGTACTCGTAGCCCGTGAGTCGAGGAAAAGAGAGGAGTGACGTGCTAGCACGCTGACTGGCTTCAGGAATGTTCGTTTACGCGAGTCGAGTGGGTGTTTCCCGCAATGTCGTCACACGCAGGGATCGCCTAGCTTAGTTTAACGTACTAGTTGCTGCGCAGAATGGTCCCTGGGCCGTTTCTCTTCCAGACGCTTGATTTCCAGCGACGCGTTCGCTAACTGTTTCTACTCTGGCTAGGTAGGCACTCGGAGTCGCGCGGAGAACGCGCTATCGTAACAGGTAGTTGGTCCTACCTTGAGCTACGCTGTCGAGGATTCTCGAGGCACTGGGGGGGGGGAGGGGGCTCTGGAGCCGACGGTACGCTCCCGATCACGGGCTCCGCGCGCAGGTAAATATCGTCCAACGCGATCGCGCGGCCGCGACTGAGACTGAACTCACTTTCCAGAGGCGGCGTTTTACCTGCGACAGGAGAGACCTCTTAACAGACCAACGGTTTAGCTTCCCTCTCCGCGGCCTCCCATGTACGTGCCACTCTCGCGTTCTTACGGCTATCCTTCCTGCCTACCCAGCCACCCACCCACCTATTTACGCCTGCGAGTGCGTGGCCTCAACAACCTCGAGCCCAACTATCCCGACTCTGCCAACGAATCCTCAACCTTTAGGACGTGCAAGTCTGGCGAACTTGGTGCTCGTACGCAATCACCGGCAATTGCTTTCTTCGATCGTTCAGATGCCACTAGAAAGTGTCAAGGGAAACGCGAGGCACAGGCCTGTGAATTATTGTTAAATCGGTTTTTGTAAATGATAAAGATAACACGTTGGGAAATCTTTCAGTTTTTCACATCTTTTCCACTTTTCAAGCTTACAGTCTAACATTTTACCTTTTTTCCATTTTCAAAGTCTTTTCCAAACTTTTCCACCTCGAAAGAATCTTTCAGTGTTTCCCACTTTCCTTCATCTCCAAACTTTGCAATTTTGTCCACCTCTAAATTCTTCCAGTCTTTCCCGGCCCAGCCCTGTCACACCTGACTTACGTCACTCCCCTCGTATACACTGCATCGATTGAAATGGAATTAAACGCGAAACGCGAAACGAGATGAACAACAGATGAACGAGGAATTTCAGATTCCGTCGCGTTAAATTGCGTAAATTATTGGAAGTACGCGAAGAAAGTGGTACGGGTGGAAAAGAGAGAAGAAAAGTGTGGGCGTGGGTGTCTCAAGGTCTTCCGCTCACCTTTTACGGCCGAATGCAAAATCCGGACATGAAAAGCCAAGACAATGTACAGGACCGAGACGGATTTTAACCGCGGATGGAGAGGTGAACGCTAGATTCTATTTATCAGCTGTGTTATCATTCCCAAGCCAATGCCGTGCACCACCTCATGGACTTTGGAAAATTTCATCCAGGTCGGATCGACACATCTGGAGGAATGTTTTCTTGTTTCTAGGCTAAAAACCGAACGAATCGGTGAATTTGTTTTCTATAAGAATTCAGAGAAAGCAAAAAAAAAGAAAAAAAAAATGAAGATGGATGGGAGACAATTACCATAACATGATCAGAGTGCAGTAATGACGCTAGAACATAATTGACACGAGGAACTGGTGGACAGTGAAAGGATATACAGGATCCCTTAAATGCCAGTGGTTCAGATTACACAGAAGAAACGCGTTCACCGCCGCCTTCTTTTCAGGCACGCAGTTATTGCGACTGCTAGAGGGACCAATGGACCGGTTGGTCCCCTTGATAGCACTTCCGAATATGGCAACGCGTCTCCCCCCCACCCCTCCAGCCCCATCTTCTTTTTTCGATTTCGCCACTTCTTCGTGCAATCTTGTATTTGTATACCGCGCTGGACGAAAATATTGAAATGCACGCTAGAGAAACAATTCGACTGCCCCGCTCTCACGTTTACATTTATTTTGACGATGAAAATTACGCTCGGCAACTGAAACAAGGGAAAGTAAGGTTTTCAAAATGGACATTTTTTAATATATTTGGCATATGAAACGGGTAACTGTAATAGTTTGTTGCTTTCTTTGCTTTACTGAAAAAGGGAAATTAAAGGATCGTTCAAGAAACAAACGTTTGCATCTACAATTTGTTTTCGAGGTTTAAAGTACCCCTTTATACCAAATCTCCTTCAATTATTTATTCTTGTTTATTTCTTCTGGCTCTCCTGTTCTTCCTAGCATCTTTTTGTGCTGCGTTTCTATTAAATACACAGAAAATTCAGCTGCATCCTAGTTGTCCACACGATAAACTATATTTATTAAATTTTCGTTTAAATAAAAATACATTTATTTCAATACTCTGGTAAAAGTTACACGCGAGTTTATTTACGTTGGCACAGTCTTTGTGAAAGAAAATACATCGTTCTACGCCGTGAGTGTCCTTACCAATGTAACACGCGAGACCCCTACGAGAAAACGATGACGTTTAAACGTTTAATGTTAACGCGATTCTATTCACGGCCATTTTCTCATCATTTCGATCCTACTCGTTGTAAGAAATCGTTAATACAGCGATTACAAAATGGTCCATTTAAACGCAACGCAGGCGCAAACCCTTTGAAATTATAAAAGAAACATCGTCCAAAGGCACGTGACGTCTAAAAGGCGTGGGGGTTATTTTCAGACACAATTCACTGCACTGTGAAATGTTTTTATTCTCGCTCGTTTCTTCTCTCTCGCCTGTTCTCTCTTCAAGTTTGTTTTTTTACACGAGTAACGATTAACATTCATAAACAAGAATCGACCAAACACCCTCGATAGAAATGGAAAACACACGGTTCCCATATTAAATAAAATCCATCAGTTCGTATTTCAACTACGCGACACTCGGACGTGCTGGAAAACGAAACCTGTCTAAGAGGCGTAGGGGTCTCTTGGACAGAATTCAGTGTACCGTGACACGATCTGTTATTGTTCCCTTATTGGTCCTTGGCCGTCCATCTTTGCCGTTCCTTGCGACCCTCCCTCGCTGAAGACATCCTCTTGTCCGAGGCAATCTGCAACAGTACAAAACTAAATAAACAAGGAATAGGTGTCGGACGTTTGCAAACGTTCAAAGTATTTTCGACGTCCCTAATAGCTCGAACGACACGCGTGGACCGTTTAGAATGCAACACCTTGTAGAATGGTTCCAAGAACCGCAAACGCAAACTGTCGTCTGCGTCAATAAATAGCGCATCGTATTCTTTCCTTTTACAACTGATATTCTGCACGCGTTGCTTTCAAGACGATGGTGTTATTTCAAACCGAAATTCAACAGAAGGATACCTCTCGGCCGCGGCTGTTAAACGGCTCAAAATAGGATAACGCATTAATGTCAAAAGCTTGTTGCCAGGAAATTTATGGCTGCAGAGCGGTCAGGTCGGTATTGAAAGTGCGTTATCGCTAACGTGTATCGGACGAGTGTCCATGTATGACGCGTATTCGGCAAGTTTGATGTAACATATAGTACCAAATATATACATAGTCAGATGGACGGAGAACGGTGAGGCTATAACGCGTTGATTGGCAGACTGCAAGGCTAAAACTTTGTCTGTAGGCAATCTGGAAAAGTATACAAGCTAACAATTAGACTGGTAACTTTAGACTCTAACAATCTATTCTGTCCGGATTCGTTTTTATTATCGCAGACCTTAAGATTAATTGTCCGAGTCCCATCGGTGAAAAGTACTCGTTTAGTCTGTCACCTATATGCAAGTGACGTGGTATTCGATGCTGGGTTTATTGGGACCGATCAAGCAAAACTAAAATTGCAGGAACTGCAACGGATGAGAAAGAGCTGTGAGGATAGGTGGACAGTCTCCTAAACAAGCCGTTTATTATATTTTTCGTTCTCTATATTAACGATACTAGAAACTATGTAAAGGACACTGTAGTTTTGCAAGTATTGTACATTACCGATGGAAGTGCTAATGTGTAGAAAAGCAGCGATTGTGGATCCATAGTTTTGTGTCCAGATTCACAATTCGTAATATTTGGCCATTGCTTTGTTCCCCTGACATTGTATCCCCTGATATAAACATTTAATTAAATACGTCTAGAGGAAGTAGCTTGCATTTTGTGGATAGAAAGGTAATCGTCAGAACGAAAAAAACTTTCATTTTACACCCGACGCAAGCAAAATTGAATTTGTAGCGCCACCGAAGATCGCCATCTTGATTGTCGGGTTGGGTGGGAAACCGATAGGTGGCGTATGCGTACAGGCCGCGACACATGTCCACGTTCGATATGCGTTATTTCTGTGGCTGTGTTACTAGCTCGAAAGATGCAAAAGGAGTCATACTCGGTACATACTCGGATCAGGCTTCCTGAAGTTCTCCCTTGATTCCAGGTACGCTATGATGGTGTCTGGACGCGAGCTTGCTGGCCAGTTCGTGCATCACGTCCCTGTATATCACCGTGTCCAAATTCTCTCCCAACATGTAAAGAAGAAACCAATCTCCCACTTTACTCCTCCTGACAATCGTCTCCACGGCTTCTCTTCTGACCAAACGAAACCGCAGCCTTAGAAGGTAGACTCTCGTTCGCGGCGAGAATATGATTACGATCTGTGTATTACAGCTGGAATAACTATCAGGGACAACGGCGACGGATAACATTTAAAACGAATAACTCACCCTGTATAAAACCGTTATAAAGCTGAGCACGCCGAGAAAGAGAAACCAGAACCAGAGAAATACGTATATCTTCTCGTTGACGACGTTTAAGGGCAGTATGCAAACGGCGTCGTGCCTTTCGACTTCACCGCTGACGCCGTACTTGTAGAAGGTGCACTTGGTCATCCGTGGAAACACGTATATCATTGGATCGACCCTGTCCTCCTGATCCGATTCCAGGAACCTGAGCACGTCGATACCAAACGTCAGAAAGGCACCGTCGAAGAAGCGGTTCATCAGAAACATTTGACCTGCGCACATCCAAGCTTCTTTTGTAATCTCGATTATTATTCGACAAACTATGTTTTTTTCGGCTGTCTAGAGTCTACGTCTACATCGTTAACCAGAATAAATGTAGAGACCGTAGGTTCTGTAGACTCGGTGACCTAGGGCACATTAGATAGATGTTTGAGTTATGCTCGTAATACTTTGCCGGTGGATGCGATTTTTACCATGTGTATTACGCATAGTTGTGTTGTTGTTGCACTACGCGAACGCTCTTATAGCGTAGGTTTCGTAACTTTGTTGGTCTAGGACATAGTAATAGGTATTTCAGTTGGGTTCATGATCCGTTTCTTGTGTACGCGAATATTGTATGCATTACTGCATACACTTAATATTTTTAGAGTGCGTGTTATGTTTGTGTCCCATGTCCCATTGAATATATCCCACACGCACGCACGCACGCACACACGGCATATCACATAAAATGTAAAAGGCGTAAAGGAGTCACGAGGCCTCACTAACATTATCCGTGACTAGGTGTTTTCGCATCAGGTAGCTTTCTTTCCTAGAAATTGTTGGAACGATTCCCTTGTTCGTTGTTCGACATTGACGGGCCGTTTACTCCTCATCCTCGAGTTTATTCGAATAAAATTTTATTGGAATAGGTGTTTCAATAAGAATTGATTCGAATAACGGGCAACTCTACTCGTGAGATCGACGGAAACATTCTGGAACAATGTGGACGTTGAAGAAAACCGATGGATGGCGCATAGATTGGCTCTTCAGACGCGTTAGTTGGCCAGTTGTATAGTTGCCAAATTTTGTTGTGAATCATTCATTCACTGCTCGCATATTCCTCGATCTCCCTTTACGCAAACTTTACACTCCGCGGTGAGCTCGATATTTCGGTTATTACAAGTTCTACCGAGTACGAGTACATCGATCTTTGAGACTTTTGGCATTGTTCGTACCGGGACTCGTAAATAATGACCTGGTCAATTGATTAGCTAGTTTGCAAGGTGCGTCACTTCCCCTTCCTATAGTTACAAAGTTACGATTGCAAGTATAACAGAAGAAATGGGAACAGAATTAATATTCCCAGAATAACGTGGAACAACGAATGTCAGTATGACCATCAGCATCAGGCATGAGATACGAATTCGTCAAAAGTAACAAAACAAATAGCACACGAAGATAAATATATATGAACGCGGCAGGATCTGAGGAAATACCAACGGAAACGACAAACGGGAAAACTTGACGGAGGAATGGAAACATACAATGTCGCAACGGTCTGTTGTTTGTAAAGAATCGGAAGGAACTGTTTGAAATTGGAGCCATTGAAAATAACAAGTGCACATGGCGAAAACAGTCGCATTGTCCGAAAAGTACACGCACACGTACACGTATCGATACATGTATTTCTGGCTTCTAATCGAAGGTGAACGAGTGCTATTTTAAAAGTTGCGAAGAAAGCAAGAGTCACGGTGTATTCCATCAAAGAGATGTCCGAGACTTTAGAGATCAAAGAGGATGATCCGTTTCTTGGAACGGCTTCTTATGGAAACAGAAATCGCTGCTTTTTTTCTGCACGTGCTTCGAAAGGTATTTCAAGATCGCCAAAACGAATCGTCTCGATGAAGAAACTAGGACGTAAAGGAAACGGAATAGCTCCCTACGTTTTATTCCTAACAGAAGAGGATTGCTATTTGTTGTCATAAAATGTAAATCGATGTTATAGTGGGATACCTCGAGCCAACCTTCAATAAAGTTCTTCCAGATGTAACCAAACGATCTCCCATGTTGTTTTCTTTGATACCATCGGTAGAGTTATCTCCTTCTTTTTTACGAGAAACACGTTGTAGATCATTTGGTTCACTTGGAGAAACTTGTGATAATATTCTTCGAGGTGGCACGTGTGGCAAATCTATTTACGTAGAATTTCAAGCGGTTTCGATGGACGAATAAACATCTTTGTGAATAACGAACAGCTAAAAAAAAAAAAATATCTATTTTTCATTTCTTATCTCATATACTCGTGACACTGTGCGAGTGGGTGAAGGACTATAGGTTACTTAAAATAATCTGTACAGCGATAAAATTAGGGGAAGTAAAGTAAGGGTAGCGTGAAGTGAGAGTGAGAGAGAGAGAAAGAGAGAGAGAGGGGTGACGGGAAAAAAATAACGTGCCACTCACCGACCACATTCACCAGGGCGAGAACTTCGCAGAGGTAGTACCTGTAAGCCCACCAATTGTGATAGCGAAGATTTTCCCACAGATAGTCGAGCAGCATCTTTTTCTTCTGCTTCTTCTCCACCTCGGAGCAGAGGCCTATGTCGAGGTCCATCATCAACGCGTGGATCTTTCCACCCTCCCAACCTTTCCACAACCAACGGGGCGTGTAGAAGAGGATCGCCTGAAAACAAACCATAAAACTGATCGGTAACAATTTAATCAAGGAACGAGGAGATCCTGTAGAATCGAATTGATTGAAATCAGTGCTAGTAGAGCTTCTCCCAGGGCAACGATAACAAGCGAAACAAGGACACAAAGGCTAGGAATGAATCCTTCATGTAGTTGGTCAAGAAATTAATCCTAAACTGCATAATAACGCTACCCCTCACCAGACCTCGTACTTTGATTCCACAGCCATCGACATGGCGAATACTTACTTTGCTCCACTTTGTATTATTATGTAATTTAAAAAATTACTATTATTATCATTATTTCTTGGGTGTAACTGTTTAACAATTATTGCCCCATTTGTATATAGATATTTCAGCTTGACTAGGCATAATAAACGCATGTTACCGGTGGTAATCCCGAGGACGTGAGTTGGAATCTTTCGCGTCCATGTTTGTTTTTCATGGAAAATTCCGAAAAAATAAACAATTTAAAGAATTACTAAACTTGCAAATTAGTTTACTTGGAAACATACTAAACGATAACTGTTATTTCAGAGTATTATTACATCGGTGAGGATTCGTTTGGAAGCGATAAAATGGTAGTAAAGGGGGGTAGTATTGTTTCAAGTCAAGGATTGATTAATTGCTGGTGATTTAGAAGCGATTCATTTGGGTAACGAGTTTACGTTGGCCAGGAGAAATGCTAAATGTATCATCGTGGATTTCCGTTGGTGGGGCCGTTAAAGATTGCGATCACGCGGTCTTAAAATCATTAAGAGTCGAATTTCGGGCATGTTTCGCACGTGTAAGCGGAAATAACGAAACGGGGATCACAGTGAATTATTAGGATGATACACTCCAAGTGGATTTAAAGCGGTTAAACTACGATAACACAGACAAAAATAACGTGCATTAATTAACGTGAACTGTGATGTATGGAGTGTGCGTGTTTAGGAACGTGGATGTTTTAGTAAAGCCAGAAAAGAATTTTGTTCCAATGTGTTTAGAATGAATAATTTTAGGACCACTCTTTTGGACCACCTTTTACCTTGGAGAATGATCTTTTTCGAATATGATTCGAATATGTAATCGAATCAGTTCGAAAGTGATTTGGTATGTTAATGGTAGGGCGAAGCCAGTCGAAGGCATCTGGCACAACCTTGGCTTATGAGTATGGTTATAATCTAGTCACAATTGATCGATAACCAGGAAACGATGAGCGCAGTATAAATATCTGGCTTGTTCGAAACATGTGTACCTCTTACGCGCCTATAAGCGCTTCTTGAAATTCCAAAATTTCATCCAGAGACATTTTTTTCGATTTTCTCGATAAATAGCACGATGACCTCGAGATTAATCATCGGCGATATTATGAAAAAACTATTTAAAGCTTATGAAAAAATTACAAGGTCGTTTCGAAACCCAAACACTTGGCAACTACTCGATCCAGCATTTGTCCTGCTCGAAATTTACTTTCACATTTAAGCTCACCTTCCGAATGAATGAATAATAATTTACTAATTTACTAGGCCAAACTGCAGATATCGTACTTGCAGGAGCAAGAAGAAGATGACCCACTGATAATACTTGTGCTGTTTGACTAGAGGGTGAGCCGCATGGCCGTGCATGCCAACGCCCTTGCTGTTGGAGACACCAGGATAGGGTACAGCCTGTCCAAGGCTCTTGTTGAATGCGTGCACCATGCTGTAGGTGGTGTGGAGCCAGCAAAAGGTCTCGAGGACGATCTTGTCGACGGATCCGGAGGCCTCGCAGTGTATAGGCGAGCCAGAGATGCTCTTACACGCCAAGGTCACGCAACCTCCCAGGAGGAGAGCCACCGTGGCGCGATAATGGAGTCGAAAGACTACCGTGTCCTCGGAGATTCTCTGTACCTTGAAGAGGGACCGCAGGGAGCCGAAAATGTCGATCATCTTCACCATCAGAGGCATCTTAGGATGCTTGGGGCAGTCAGTTGTCGACCTTTCCACTTGCAGAAGACAATCGTCTTCGTCTTGGCCGAGGAAATCCGTTTTTGCGGCTGGTTAGCGTCTGGTGTCTCTACGAAAGCTCATCGCCGTTCGATCGAGTCCCTGGCGAACATTTACCTCGAACAATGAACCACACCGAGATCGCGATCATCCTCGTCCCCGTCCCCGTCCCCGTCCCCGTCCCCGTCCTCGTTCTCGTTCTCGTTCCTCTTGAATTATTTCGTTTATTTGGGAATGTTTAGGACCTGGTGTCCCTAGCAGACCTCCATCAACGTCATCCTTCCTTTGGATCCTCTTCCAGGCTTGTGTTAGAACGTTGACTTTGAAGGATGAACCACGCGGAGAGTCATCTTTCCTTGAATCCTCCAGCAGAATTGTTTGTCCATCAGTGTTTGGCCTTTTTCTTTAGTTGCAGGAGAAGCTTCGTTGCGAGAGAAGGTTGCGTTCGTCACTGTATACCGCCTGGTTCCTTCTCCTCATCACTTCTGCTCAATTCTCCGTCAGAATACTCCACGTAAACTAAACTTTGCGGATGCGTCGACAGCACCAGGCTCCCCATGTACATTTTCCTTGGGTTCTGTTCTCGCTTCACCAGGGAGAGATGACGTTCATTTTCCTTGATCGGCTAGTTGTTTATTCCATCCAGATGATTCTTACTTGGACTCGGGACACCATTGTTAACATTTTTTTCTGCGATTATGCTCCGTTTATAAATCTACACTAATCCACACTAATCTATACTACGCTTGTACTAACGAAATTGTACGATAGTTATTTTTCGTTATTTCTATATTTCTATGTTTCTACATTTCCGTTTCCATGGCGTACAGCAGCGATTTAGCGATGGAAAATTGCACTGTTTATTTCGGAGCGAAAGAAACGAGAACGAGAGGACGGATCGAGTAACGGACACACGTGGAGCACGGAAGCAAGCCGTCAGAAGACTGACCGAACTTGAAAGGTATCACTTGGCCTCGATGCTAAACACATAAATTGTACGATCTTCTAAGTATCATTCTCTCGAATGGCTTTGCGAGTCGAGGATTCGCTTAGACAGCTCAAAATGTCGCACGAGGCCCAAAAAGTGAAATTTTAGACCCGTATGGGTCTTTGCATCTTTGCATCTTTGCTACTAGACATGCCCCAAAGCCTTTACACGCAGTATTAAATTCGAGAATTCGCTTAGTCAGTTGAACATTTTTCCATACAAGTGAAGAAACACAACAAGTAGCCAAATAGGAATACCAGAGGTAGGTTGTGGAATGGCCCAGTGGAAAAGGCGGTTGGCTACGACTCCAAAGGTCCTCGAGTTCGAATCTCCCCCCTATGGATCTCCAAAGAATTTCGATAGCCTGGAGAGCTATTTTCCGCTATTTACTCAAAGTAAAACTACTAAATGACTCGGCCAATAGCATTTTTTTCGACAAATTTCCCACTCGAAACTTCTCCTCGCATAAATACATGTGTATATGTATAACGCGCGCAACAAGGGAATGGCACCCAAGTTTGGATTCGCCATGGATCGTGACCTGAAAATGGTTGACGGTAATTTATATCGGTGACGTCGTTGCTGAAAAAGAAAATGAGAAATGCATGCGACGTTATGATGTCACGTTGTAATAATATATAGTGATTATCAGGAATTGGCCGGTGGCCAGGGGCACTTGTTGTCGCGAAACGCCTAAAAGAAAAACAGGGAAAAATGAAACATATTCGGGTCATTGTCGTGGCTCTATAGTTAGATATCAGAGGGATTAAATTACGATGAATTATGAAGCAATTGGAGGATTTGTTTTGTTAATTAGAGAGGGAACTCCCATTCGTAATAAATCGAAATAACGATGAATCTGAAGATTTAATTAGGGTTGCTACAGAGAGAAAGGACAACGGAGTGGACTCGAGGAGTTTTAACGAGTGGTCAGAAAAAATTCTGCTAGGCGAATTTTGATGCCATAAAGTATGCAGTTTGATCAATTCGAGATCATACACCCATTTACATCCCGATACTTTTCAAGCCCTTTCAGATACCTCTGTGAAAAGACATCAGCAGCCTCCAGCAGTTGCAAATTGCGCCATAAAAATGATTGAATTAATAATAAATAAATAAATAAATCAAGACGAAACTCGTTTATCTCTCGATTCATTCGTCAGAGGGAAGTTGTCGAAATGCAAAGGGGATCGATACCGAACAGAAAACACTAATTCCATCCAACGACACGTCTACTCGAAGAGATCAGTCGAAAGGTGAGGGTAGAGGAACGTCTTTGACCGAGCGTCAAGGCGACGAGCACGACAGCGACCCTCGGCGACCAAGTAACAGCTACGGGTTTAACGAGTTAATATGCTTAGGGTTTCCTTCTTGGCAATGAACTAGATATAAGCTTCTGTAAGTAGTGAGTAAATTCGTCGCTGGTAGCCGCAACCAGTTCGTTTGTTATCCGGCTTTCCTCGTTGTCAAACCCATCTATCGATGCATTTTCTATACGCTCACTTCAAAATTTCATTCACGAATGAAAAATATCGATTTAACTGCTATGATTGCGCAGACTGGCAACTGGCAACAGGGTACTCTTTTGGTCTGTTTCTCGCGTCGGCTCGTTTTCTATCGAGTAGTTTTCTTTCATTTTTCGTCCTGACTCTTACCTTTGCCCTGCCATTCGTCGATATAGTAAATGCTATAGTAAATGCGACATGTTTAAATGCTACAAATAATTGTTTGATGAATTCGTAATGTAACGAGAGGTTCTATTTATGTTTCAGATATTGTATTATTGTACGCAGTGGATTTGTACAACTCGAGTACATTACTACAAGACGGTACAACACTAGGAAAAGTATTAGAAAAGAGTGAAAAATGAAAAGTAAAGAGAGGACTGTTCTCTGGTGAATTACCTGAAGAAACAGCATGAAGCAGACCCACTGATAGTACCTGTACTCCTTCCTCTCGCTCTCTGGATGGGACTTTGAGTTGTCGACGCCAGGGAAGGGCACCTCGAAACCCTCGCGCTTCTTGTAAGCGGCGGTGATCGTGTAGGTGCTGTGGATCCAGCAGTAAGTGTTCAACACGTCCTCTGGCAGATCCTTGCTGTGAATGCAATCGATAGGATTCCCCACGTACTGTCGCGTGGTGACGATCAACGAGAACGCGATCAGCAGGATGACAGTCATGCTGTAGTGCAGCCTGAAGACTGCTGTGTCGATGTGAACGTGAGAAATCTTGATCAGGCTCTTCAAGCCTCGAAATATGTCCAGCATTTTGGATCAGAGTGAGATCGAATCGAGCGGGGGCAGGGTATCTCTGGATCACGACGATACCAATGGATCGTACGTCGATCCTTTCCATCCACGTTCTTCACATTTTTCCTATTATTTCCTCTCACCTATCGATCTTTATCTCCTTTATCCAACACGTTCAATGCCAGATATTTTCGAAAATCACTTCTGGGATTCAATTTTATTTGCAGACTATTGGAGTGGGCATAATCAAAGGTATATATATATCGTGGTATCTATTCTTCTACCTTTAGAAACATTCATAAATTTCATTTCAATTCATTTCCTTTGGCGCTTAACTTTCAGATTATATATTTAATTTAATATTTCTTTACTGTGATCTGATAAATTTAAAATTTAAAATTTTATTTAACGCGTTGGCCGCCAGACTAGAAGTAGCGAAACTTTCTATCAAGTTGAAATTTCGTCTCGAGACTGTCGAAGGTTAGACAATCTCACGTCGTGTTTTATTTCGAAGTTTATTTTATTCGCTAATCCTATCCGAATGTATTTTCAGTGTGGTCTCACATTTGGAATTAATCATTTTTAGTTGTTTAGCGAAAAGCACTTATGAATGGTTGGGGGACCTCCTGACCTTTTGGGGCCCTTGAAACCTCTGAGGCTCGATGCTCGCGTCTGGCAGGATCAACAAACGAAAATTTTGACGCGTACCCTTGCAGAGATCCAACACGATGATCCACGTGGGATCCTCTGAAGTGCTCCTAGGATCCTGGTATGCCCTCGCTAGTCCTGTTGCACGCATTCTTCCTCGTTCAGAGCATCGTAAATTCCCACCCACTCGAGTCTAAAGTATCAGGAAATGCGACGATCTTGAAAATATTCAGGACCGATCCAACCTCGCTCATGTTTCTCAGGTGTTGTTTGAAATTTCCAATAAATTTCAAAGTTTCTTGGCTCCCTGTTCGAGAGTACTCCTCGAATGTGTTTGATTGTTCCAGGAAGCTTCCGTTGGTCGTCGATCTTGCTTGTTTAGGAAGGAACGACTGCTCAGAAACACTTCCAAGTACTCACTTTGTGAAACCGTAGTTGCATTTCACAATCGCGCCACTGTTTTAAAAGCCACTGCGTCGAACTTGTGTCACAAATCTGTCATTTTAAAGGTGGAACGGTGACTCGAGACTGTATTATATTCCAGCGCTATGTTTTCGAGCTGTTCCTCCAGCATTCTATCCTCTGTTTCAGGATAATCACACCGTTCAATGACGAAAGGACCAATAATCCCCTGTTAATTCCCCGAATTATAATGTATATTTTAAACTTGAAATATCAATGATATACATATTAATACTTTGACGACTATGACAACGACCATATGATATAAATTCCCATTACTATTTCCAAACAATCGAATGTTCTTTCCAACATACAAATGAATCGTTTCATCAGAAATCAATTTGATAAATGTTTCTCGAAAGTATAAACAGAGCAACTCGAATCCTCGTACGGTTTCCTACGTACGTCTACAAAAGTGTCACCAATTGTCCTCCAACTGGACGAGTGATCCCCGAAAGGATTTCGGTAGAGGGAAAAGCTATCAACACCGATAAATACGAGGGGTTTTGTCAGCGAGGAAGACGCCCACGGATTTTTTCCGAGAGAAGACATAACATCGATGGGTTTGCTTCCACGAATGCACCGGTTCCAGCCATACGGTCGGCCGATAATAACGCGAGCGGCTCCTATTTGTAACACAAAGCGCGATTATCTAAAAATAGAGGAACGCGCGAGCCCCCAATTTCGACGAGACAGCTGACACTTTCCGGTTCGTCGGTATCTCTTGGGGAAACGCGAGAAACATTCGCGTTGGACGACCAAGAAACACGGCGAGGAAGCTTGACCCATCCCAGGAAGAGTCGGCTGTTTATTAAGAGGAGTTTCTTGTTGGCTCGAAAGATAACCGATGTTTGCTATATTTTTCTCTCTCCAAGTACTCAACGTAAAGAGCGTCAATTTATCAGGTTTTTTTCGTTGGCTTATGCAGAGTATAAATGAATGTTTGTTATTGAAATGCAAAGAAACTGTCTGTGTGTTATTTACAAGTTGTTTGTCTCTTAATAACGAACATTTTCGATCGAAACTTTTGTCCCTTGTAAATCTTACGGAGAGCTGATTTTGTTTATAAAAAATTATTTCTCATTGCCCCAGTCAATTTTCCAAATGTTTTTTCTATCATCTCGAGACAGAGTGTTGGCGAAGGCTTAGATTATTGGCACTGATTATTTGTGTATAAAAGGTCCGAGAAGTGGCAGAAGCCAGGAACGAAACACGAAACTGAATGAAACCGAAACTAAGCTTTGGTTTGTTTCTTATTTGTCTTTTTTCGCGGCGTGTTACTTGTTTAAAACTAATCGAACCGTCTGGATAACTTCTCCACATAGTGGCGCATTTCATCTCCCCAGATTATTACAACGTCAAACTAACCATGTAATTTACCAGCGTTTTTAAAATAATATTTGGAATCTCGTACGTGTAAACACACAAATAGAATTTACGAATCTTGCCCGAAGAAACCATAAAACTACTTGTAGATAATAATATCGTCTCTTTATTTTGAAAGTTTTGAAGATTTTCGAACATTTTTATGAAGAATGTGAAAAGTGAAAGTGAAAAGAATACAAGAGAGGAATAAATAAGTAAGGTAATTATTTTTAAGTTAATATTGGAATTAGGCGCGAGGCATAGAAAAAGTGGAACGTTTGGTGAGTTAGTATGCGAAATCAGCGCTCTAAATATTCCCTGCATCAGTCAACGAACTCGTACTCTGTGTGTGTGTGTGTGTGTGTTTGTGTTTGTGTGATGCACGTTAATAAATCCACCTTGTTGGAGGCTGGCAGGATCTTGAACATTCATTTCAAACAGATTACATTTGAATAATTCAATATTCGAAGAATAACTTAATAGTTTTAGAATTTCATCAATAATTAATTAAATATGCTGATTTTTAATTGGAAAACGAGTCTCGAGCAGTTTCCTCGGGTTACTATCTAGGCCCTATTTTCATCCCAGAACACTGACTTCACTTTCCACGAACAGATCGCCAAGATTTGTACATTTTGGCGCACAATGTAGGCGAAAATACACGTGCAGCATCTGGAGCCTCTGAAGACACTTGAGGATAGTCAAAGCGGTTCAGAGGTTTTCTAAAATTAATAGAGAAAGTGTGCTGTGTGTCGTAGCAGGTACCTTCTATGGGAAGTTGAGGAAGAGTGGTAGCTGAAATGGTCCAAGAAGTTTGGAATAATTCAAACACTCGTGGACCAACTGTTTGTCCCCCACAAGCCCCTAAACAAACTTTGTTTCAGCTCCGATACGAGTATCAATTCTTGATAATTCTAAGCAACCTCCAAGCCTCTTAAACGATCAACAACTAATCTTCCAGTATCTCTCCCTACGTAAAGTTTAACGAGAAAGGCAACCTGAATATATCGTAAGGAGTTTGCAGGCCAGGGTTACGTGCTCACACGCGGACACGATCGTCGAGTTTATACGGCAAGAAGAAGCACGCGCAACGCCCTCAGCTTCCACACGCCACGAAGAAGCTAGAAACCGGCGGCGCCGACTCGAGGCGTACGGACACGGCTCGACTGCTCGTGTTTGCTAGCCAGGGCATAGCACCTCCCGTAGGAGCCGAGCGAGGAGTCAACCCGCTCCAGGAATAGAAACACCAAACCCGAAATGTTGGAGCGTACCAAGCGCAACATTAAAACGCACCGCGAGACCACTGTCTTGTCTTTTCCATCGATTCATCGTGGAGAATTGACCAAATTTCGTTTGGAACCAGAGGGATCGAGCACTGGGAGATTTATTAGATCGTCGACGCTTCAGGGACTTTTTCAGGATTACCATGTAAGAGCAGAAGGGAGAGGGTTACGTGGGCAATTGAGATTAAAGAAAAATTATTGATATTTCCGTCTGACGCGATTATGAGATTCGTCAGGGATGTATAATTGTAAATAGAGTTATTTTACGTGGGAATAGGAAGTAAGGATGTAAGATAAAATATGTAGAAAGAGGGAGAATCGTAGGAGGTATGTTAAAAGGAAGGAAGTTTGCTTGGTTCTTGAGGAGAGAGAAAATAAAGAAAAAAATGCGCAAGACAAATATCGAGATGGATAATCAAGATCCAAGGAAGAGTTTGATGTAGCGAATGTTTGTCCAAGGAAAGTATACAGGCTACTTGATCCAATATTAGAAAAATATTAGCTACAAAGTATCGTTAGGTTATAGTCTGTATTACTCGGGAAGCAAGGAAACCTTGTAAAAGATACAAGAATCTCCACAAGTAATAAAGTTTATAAGTAAATTTTCAAGGGATTAGAATATTTAACTGTAAACATGTTTACAGTTTTTATTCTTGAAACTAAGTATTGGACTGCGAATAGACTGTAAATATTTGGAAGGGCCAGCTAATTTTTAAATGAATTTCCACGAAATGAAATGTAATGAAATATAAACTTATAAAATGTAAGTTTACTTGATTTCTAAGTAAATTTTCAAGAGTTGAGAATATCTAAATGTACATGTAAAAACATCTAGTTGTTAATTTTTAAACTAAACGTCGGCGTCGAATGAATATTGAATATGACGATTATAAATAAAAGACCATATATAACCATAATATTTTTCCGACTAAAACTGAAATATTAGAATATTAAATCGGTTAATTATCGGTCGTTGAGCATCGAAAGATGGCTCGTACAAGTTGTTCCAGATTTCAAGGCAGCCATGGGGCAGCCAAAATGTAAATTGAATCTTGACTCCAGCTCTGATCATGTTGACACGAAAGTGCTGAGTTTATCGGCGATGAAGTAATATATACTGATTTCTGCACTGACCTCCCCGACCTGGTGTACTATCAAAAGAGTAACACAGCAACTTTCATCCAATATACAAGTAAACGTGTCGCGTAGGCGTCCATGAACGGTTCACGGTGATTTACTTGTTGCGAATTTATATAAACTAGTGAATACAGATCATACTATGTGGGTTTTCCGATTACTCAAATGTGAATTTAATACACCCCCTTTATCAACGATACGCACTGTTCCGTCCACGATTCGTTTCATAAGTGTAAGATATCCATATATATATATATATATATATATAGTAAATAGTTTGATGACAAATATCGAAAGTGCACGTGACTGAACGATAATGATAAATAATGGGAGGAGATTTCTTTTATTTTTTTTCGATGCAAGATTTTTGTAGTCGAGTTCTTGTTAATAGTTGGCGGCATGAAATTCGCTGAGTGGTCGCTTTGTAAATCAATATTTAGAAATGTATTTGATAGCGTTTGTTTCTCTTCCGTAAACAGTACAATATAATAATAATAATAATAATAATAATAATAATAATAATATATCATATTATGGTAATATACATATTTTAATTCAAGTATCAAGAAAATAGAGAAAAATAAGGCATTTGTTATTCCAAGTGCCGAGACAAGCTTCGCATAATTATTAGAAATTTGTTTTTTTGATAAAATCCCGAGACTCTATCGAGTCCGTAAATCAGAAATGAATGTTTGTAATTTTACATGAGAGTCTATGTTGCAGACGTTGAAGGGGAAGATAATCGCCATCAGGAGGGAGGATCAATCGGTATGGGAAAGAAGGGCACCCCTGGCGCCAGCGAACGTTCGTCGACTGATTAGAGCAGGCGTGAAGGTCCTCATACAGCCCAGCAACAGAAGAGCCTATCCTGCCCAATCCTACCAAGCTGCTGGTGCACTGTTGCAAGAAGACATCAGTTCTGCCTCGGTCATCTTCGGAGTGAAGCAGGTTCCTGTGGATCAACTGTTATCCAACAAAACCTACTGCTTCTTTTCTCACACAATCAAGGCCCAGGAGGGCAATATGCCACTTTTAGATGCCATTCTCGAGAAGAATATACGTTTGTTGGACTACGAAAAATTAACCGATCTTAATGGACAGAGGGTTGTCGCTTTTGGAAAGTATGCTGGCGTTGCTGGCATGGTGAATATATTGCATGGGCTGGGCTTGAGGCTGTTGGCTTTGGGACATCACACTCCGTTCATGGTGAGACGATGGTCAGGTCGAAGCAGTCCAAGTAGTCTTATTTCATTTACACTTACTTTTTTTATATTTCGTTCGATTTCATTAAGTTTTATTCGATTTCATTTCATTCCACTTGATTTCCATTTCATGAATATCAATGCCGTGTATCGGTGTTTGTTAGCACATTGGGCCAGCGCACAATTACAGGGACTCGGCCATGGCACGACAAGCCATAAGAGACGCGGGCTACGAGATAGCCTTGGGTGCCATGCCTAAATCCATCGGACCCTTGACTTTTGTCTTCACTGGCAGTGGGAACGTCAGTCAAGGGGGCCAAGAACTCTTCCAGGAACTCCCCCATGAATACGTACCTCCAGAAATGCTGAAGAAAGTGGCTGAGCACGGTGGTAAGTTGCCGCAAAATCCACACAAAAATCAAACATACACTTTTCCATTCCATTTCCATTGATAATTATTTAGAATATATATATATATATTTCAGACACAACAAAGATATACGGTTGCGAGGTAAGAAGAAGGCACCACTTGGAGAGGAAAGAAGAAGGGGGTGGGTTCGATCCAGAAGAGTACGACAAGCATCCTGAGAAATATATTTCCACTTTTAGCAAAAAGATTGCACCGTATGCATCTGTGATAATAAATGGTATATACTGGGCGGTCGACTCGCCGAAATTGTTAACGCTACCCGATGCGAAATACCTGCTGAGGCCTGCTCATACTCCATGGTTACCAATCAGTGTCGGAGCACCTGCTTTACCCCACAGGATGTTGGCCATTTGCGACATTTCCGCGGATCCTGGGGGCAGTATCGAGTACGATCAACTTTTCTCGATCTTATACATATGTACACACAAATTGCAACACTATCTTACAGATGAAATTCTGCAATTGCATTTCATGTTATACAATTATAACACGCTATACAATATATAATAGCATAAATATAACGAATAGAATGTTTTTTGTCTTTCAAACATTCTCAGATTCATGAACGAGTGCACAACGATCGACACTCCATTTTGTTTGTACGATGCCGATCGTAACAAGGACACAAAGTCGTTCAAAGGGCCTGGTGTGCTAGTGTGTTCCATCGACAACATGCCAACTCAACTTCCAAAGGAATCGACCGACTTTTTCGGGAATCTCCTGTACCCCTATGTGCTCGACATTATCCAGTCGGACGCGAAGACGCCCTTGGAGGAGCATCATTTTAGCCCAGCTGTGCACAGTGCCATTATTGCATCGAATGGACGATTGACTGCTAACTTTGAATACATTCAGGAGTTGAGGCTTCTGAACAAGCGCAGCAAACACAAGGCAGACAACGTGGAAGCGCAGAATAAAACAGTAAGTTCAAGTACTTTTTATTTATTTATGGTAAATATTAATTAGTAATTGGTGTAAGGTCTGTAAGATGAAAATGTAAAATGTTAATCTGTACAAACAGGTGGTTGTCTTGGGCGCAGGGTACGTGTCCGCCCCATTGGTGGAATATTTACACAGAGCCAGCAACATACGGTTGATCGTTGCGTCGCAATTGAAAGAAGAAGCTGACATGCTAGCATCAAAATTTCCTGGAGTGGAAGCAATTTTTTTGAACGTGCTGGAACGACCTGACACTCTAAAGGACACGATCGATTCGGCTGACGTAGTGGTCTCGTTGCTGCCTTACAATCTGCATCACGTTGTGGCGAAGGCTTGCATCAGCACCAAGACTCATCTGGTAACTGCTAGCTATTTGAACGAGGACGTCAAGGCCTTGCACGACGAGTGAGTATTGACATTTTTTTAAAATCACAACTCCTCGTTACGTAAAAATAAATTCTTTGAAAACAATTTCTCTGTTACGTGTACTGTTTGGAAGATTCGGAGCTCGGTGGAATTATTTAATTTTGATCACGTCAGGGCTGTAGCAGCAGAGGTGACCATACTGAACGAGATTGGATTGGATCCTGGAATCGATCATTTATTGGCCCTCGAGTGTTTCGACAGTGTGAAACAAGCTGGAGGTAAAATAGAGTCGTTTGTTTCCTGGTGTGGTGGCTTGCCTGCCCCAGAGTGTTCTTCCAATCCTTTACGATACAAATTCAGTTGGTCCCCTCGTGGAGTGTTGCTGAATACCTTGGCATCTGCGAGATACTACGACGAGCAACAGGTGAGCTACAATTACAAATAATTTAATTCTTTTTCCAATTCCAAATAGCGATAACTCTGCCACCATGAATATTAACCGTGGTCATTAATCGAACGTATGTCAAAGACGGATTTCGTTCGTTCTATTTGCTAAACGATATCGATAAGGATCCATCTAGAGAAAATACTAGTAACAAAAATTGTCTCGTATCTGTTACTACATATAATACGATAATTGAATAATTCACTCGTAATCAGTTCTGTTTCCATTCGAAAGGTAGTCGATGTTCCTGCAGGCGGAAACCTAATGACGCAAGTCCAGGACTTGGACTTTCTCCCTGGGTTCGCTCTGGAGGGCTATCCGAATCGAGACAGTACAATTTACAAGGATTTTTATGGAATTAACTCTGCCAACACAGTATTACGTGGTACACTGAGATTCAAGGGGTTCTGCAACACCATAAGATCGCTGCAGTATCTGGGACTGATCGATCCCAATCCTCACCCTAGCTTGCATCCAAACGGGCCCGATATCACATGGGTAAGCTCGTTGAAATTCACCTCGAGACTGCCAAAATAAACGTCGACAAGCCTCGACTCGTTGATTATCTGAAATTTAAATAAATACATGTAAATGAAATTCATTCTTGATCCGTTCCAGAGGATGCTGGTATGCAACTTACTCGGCCTAGCAAATGGTAACATCTTCTACGGGAACCTGAAGAGGAAGCTGGCGGAGATGTTGAACTCGGACGAAGCCGTGCAAGCGATCGAGGACTTGGGCCTTCTGAAGGAGGACCTGGTGATGAAGATGAACACCCCCCTCGACACTCTTACTTATTACCTCTCGAAGAAGCTCTGTTACGAGGAGAGCGAGAGAGATCTTGTGATTCTGAGACACGATATTGGCATCCTTTGGCCTGATAACAGGAGGGAGAAGAGGGGGATCAATTTGGTCCTGTATGGAGACGTCAAGGGACATTCTGCCATGGCTCGTACTGTTGGCTATCCAGCCGCCATTGCTGTGAAAATGATTCTCGATGGTATTCGACTTTATTTTATGTATAGTGTATATATATCTAGTTTACCACGTTTTTGTGTTTTTATATTAATTTAGTATGCATGTATTATCAATGACCGCTTGCAACGGTCCTGAGTCGATTCTTGTTCGTTCCAGGTGAGATTCAACAAAGAGGAGTGGTCCTTCCCTTCACAGCAGACATTTATCGACCACTGCTCAATCGCTTGAAAGCTGAGGGCATCGAATTTTTCGAAACGTCAAAGTGGCTGTAACTTATTTCTACTACCAATTCATTTTACGATATACGAATATACTTTGATAAGGAACGAATATTTTAGCGAATATTTTACGTAGACTGTTGACGAATATTGTTGATAAGTTTAGAGTCAGCGATCAACTTATTTATGTTTATTATGATACAGTAATAGTACAATTATACTATAGTATAATTTCAGTATACATTATACATATAGTGGTAGCGCTAAGAAATATTGTTACCGAATTTATAGAATATGAATTTGTAAAAATCGCCATGGTGTTCATCCCTTCTCGAATTAGAATGAATTTGATTAAATTATCAGATGCAATCAATAGTTGCATTTTTCTTTTTCACACACGGCCTATAGTGTATAGCGAGCCGCGTGACGTCGCTGGCCCGAGCTGAATAGAGAGTGAGAGCAGTACAGGCGACACAATCTCATCGAACCTCGTTACATTAGGTTGTGTCGGTGACGTACGTAACATACATGACGGTAAGCTTTAATTTATTCATAAACAGTCTGCGATTGTAGTCCTATCTGACATAATTAATATTTCGTACGGAGAAGAGGAAGACGAGCGAATCTACGAACGTTGTCAGATGTGGCACGTAAAACGAGGTTGTTGCTATTTAGACTGCTATCGTTGGTTTCTTTACGAGAGAAGAGAGGTAATCTAATATCATTTCAATTTTGCAGGGAGAAGAGAAGAGAAACATAAGTGATCGAAGGCGTTAGCGGAGGTTATCGGATTGGAAAATGTCAATCGAGGTTATTCCTTTTTGGAGTGATTTCTTTATTTTGAAGACGACTGCAATTGTAGTGTAGTGTCGGTGAGATACAGTGTGCGAATCAGGCTGTGAAACGTATGATACATTGGTTAACAAATGAAATTAAGACAAGTTTCTCTATGCGATTGGTGTAACTATGTATGTTTCGTCGCCTAGGTATGAGTTAATCTTTTGCATTCAAGGCCTTTTCTTTTTTTTTCTCTTTTGTAGTATGTATCAATAACTGTAGAATGCTTTCTTAGCTTTGTACAATGTAAATGCAAAGCCATGTATTAGCTTGGAAGTTGTACGATTGCAATTAATTTAACATTTAATAATCAAGTTTCCTTTACCTGTCAAAGAATTATACGATTCATAATTGGAATTACATTGAAATAAAAAAAATAAAATTAAACCTTGTAAACATTATCTACCTTAAGATTTGCTGCATCAAGGTACAAAGTCACGTGTCACTTTTGGAGTAACTACATCGGGGTTAAGTTAGGACTGTCAGTCATCTCTCGAGTGCAAAAGGTTAACAACCAGGGGGTTAGGGACGTTAGTTGCAGATATATTTATTTTTTTATCTTTAAGACGACACGTTATACACCCTTTGATAGAAGCATGTATTAGCACTTTGCAGTGTACAATGTGATATTTATTGATGAAAGGTTCACTCTAATGTAACGGAATACGTATTGTAACCTAACCTATGAGCGTATAGCGAATGAAATTGTCCTATTTCTTGTCATTTCTCCAACTTCTATTTAAATAAATGAACACGTGAGCTGCGTGGAAGGTAACATAACACATAACTAAACGAAAGCTTTCTCTCAAAGGGAAATTTTATTGTTATTAATCCTTTGCACTCTGCGTATAAGAAAGGCACTACATTTAACAGTATATAACTTTGTATACTATTTAATGTTATAGTATACTATATTTATAAGTAGTATAGAGTATATATATATATATAAGTAAAGTTATAGCGTATAACTTTGTAAACGTGTGTTTTTTGGTAGTTGCAATGATTATATGTGATTATTACTTCTTTTAAAGCTTACGAGGGCATAAGTAACATATATATGGAGTAACCTTATACTTGGTAGTAAATCCTAAATGTAATTCATATTCTCTCCTGTTAATACATCAAGTGGCAAGGATTCAATCGATATCTTAGTTTGGAATATTGTATATAAATGAATAATTAAGTAAACAGTTACTTGGTTTTAATTGAAATATCAAGTATCCAGTAATAATAATGGAATTACTCTCAATGTTAAACAAGCAGCCTTGATTGCGGTTGCAGACATTGATTTTAATTTAAAGATGGCATCATGCACACACGAATACAAACTGAAACTGAAATCATGTTGATCAAACAGGCTTAATACTTGTTCTTTCTTCTTGTGCCACTGGATCGACTCGAAATCAATATTGTTCCGTTTAATCAATCAATCAACCATTTTTCTTTCTCTCTATTTAAATTCGATCTTTCCAGATAGATAAGGTATACGTATAAGGTGCTTCAACAATACATAACGACACTGTTAACACAAATAACAATATGTCAATAGTACATCATTGTCAGGCACATTTGATCATTAAACAGAGACCGAAGCCATTTATAGGAAATCCTTTACTTGATATTCTTTTCACAGAACAACTATTCATAGTTAAGGAATGGTTGGCCCGCTTTCTCTCGCAATTTCCATTTCCATAAGCACACGTTTATCCAAGGGAACACGGTCGAATTAATTAATTAATTAACATAACCTGTAATATCTGTCACGTACAACGTGACTCTATCCCCAGTGGATATCCGAGTGCAAAGGGTTAACGGAATCATAGTCGCGGTATCGTACGTCGTCAATATTAACTAATAAATAATAGTAATTATTACTTTCCGCTGTCGGAACCGAATGCAACACAACAGTAGCAATAGATTTCGCATTCCTCGCCGCTAGAGGGACATCAGCGTCAAGTCAGCGACTTTCTCGCAAGCGCTCGAGCAGTCCTTCTCTCGTATATATACAACTTCTAAATCCCTTCCCTCGGGGTCGCAGTCGAGTTGCGCCGCGTTGCCTCGGCACGGGCCGGTCTTCCACCACCACATAGACTAGACTCAACTCTACTCTACGCGGAAGGAAGACCGGTGCGCGCGCACCGACTCGACTCGACTGCGACCCCCCCTCCCCGGCCGCGCCGGGGAGGGCTGCGCCCTTTCCATTTCACCAGTTAGTGGCCGACCGGCAACGTAGAAGGACTTCTCCTCCCAAGAGGAGAGACTGGTGGCTCTCCCTCACGTTGTCGGGTGGTTAGGTGCGGGTGGTTAGGTGCGGGTGGTTAGGTGCGGGTGGTTAGGTGCGGGTGGTTAGGTGCGGGTGGTTAGGTGCGGGTGGTTAGGTGCGGGTGGTTAGGTGCGGGTGGTTAGGTGCGGGTGGTTAGGTGCGGGTGGTTAGGTGCGGGTGGTTAGGTGCGGGTGGTTAGGTGCGGGTGGTTAGGTGCGGGTGGTTAGGTGCGGGTGGTTAGGTGCGGGTGGTTAGGTGCGGGTGGTTAGGTGCGGGTGGTTA